CATGATGAAATGCGAATTAGTTAATTCCATTCACTACTTCAGAATTGTATTTAAACTTACAAAAGACAATGTGGAAGTGCAAAAGAAAAAAGGGATGTCTTATGCTCATGCAAAGCTATGAAAATGTTCCAAGTGAGTTATTTTAGTGTCATGTTATAAATGTATTTTATGGAGCCTCAATATGCAAAAAAGGACAGCTTCTTTCTGGCTAGTGGTAAACTCTCTCTATTTCAGAAGTTCCTGTGCCCCCTGGGGCGACAGCTTGACTGCTTGTTGAAGCAGCAGCCTAACTTCTATGGCTTTAAACTCCTTAAAACAAACAAATTAAAGCTCAGTATATTTAAGGTGAGCTAGCAATAAATTAATTTTTCCTTCATATATTAGAGTGTAATTTGCAGTAGTTCAATAGTTGTCACTTGAGCTTCTCAGTAGTCCCAGCAAGAAGTGCATAACAAGCAGTAGAGGGTGGGAACCCTCAGGCCTTGGATGACAAAGCTTGTGGTACTTTCCATAAGTCCAAGTTACAGAAACCTTCTGCTGTAAAATTTTTTCCTCGACAAGGTATCAACATTCAGTATCAGCACAAATATCTGAGTAGGCACTGGTAGATAAACAAGCTGAAACAAACAAAACTTGTGTTGTTTGCATTTAATAGCCAATATTGCTTCAATTTTGATGATGCCCACAAGAGAGTTCAAGTCCAGAAATATGAGGTGCTGATTTTAACTGAATTTTACTTTTGTTATTTTAATTACACTTCTGTTATTTTAATTGCAGCTTTATTGAAATGTGACCAAGTAGAGTTTCAAAAGTGCTGAAAGGCTGTGACCTCATAGTTGGTAACCTATTACATCTGATTTTTTTGGCAGATTTAATTGCACTGGAAGGTTCCCATACAGATTGTTGCTGTGCTTAATGAAGTGTGCTGCAGAGAGTTTTTGTTGGACTCTGCACTGCTGTTGTTAAGGGAGATTGAAAATAGTTGTCAGTTCTCAATCAAAATTGCCCTCATGTTAATAAGCACAACTGTGTGTGCAAGTGTAATTGTGTTTGCTATCAGAATGCCTAGCAGCTTAGATCAGAATCAATGTCAAGAAACTGACAACATTAATTGTGGAGATAATTTGTGTCAAACCTTAATTAATAACCTTTATAAAGATAAAGGCAACAAATACTACTTTTCATTTTGGTTCTGTTGGGTTATGATTCCATATACCCTTACACTGGTTATGTATGGGGTATACACTCACTTTATATGTAACGAGATGAACATGTGGATTGAATAATGAAAAGATGGGTTGCATAATACCTATCTTTCTCCATGGCTGGCTGGCTACTATCACCATAGTCTGAGCATCTCTTGACCATAAATGAGTTTATCCTCACAACACCTATTAAACATGCAGATATTATTATCCTTCTGGTGCAGCTGCTGAGTCTGAAGTGGAGAATTTAACTGGTTTGCCAAATTAAATTTAACTTTGTGAACTGCTGCAAACGGCCATTGTATGCATTAAAATGTCTGAAGTGTACAGGACTACTATAAGTTTCCTGTTTCAGATAAAATTATCTATGGTCTAATAATAATTTACCTTCTCAAAGATACCTCAAAGGTAACTGTCTTACTTTCAAGATTAGGCACTGGAGGAGAGTTGTGGCAATGGAATTACTTACTTATGCAAAAGGAAACTTTGACCAGCCACATACCTTATTTTTTTCAGCTAGATTATGGTTGTAAGTGAAACACAAAGATTGTCACGGTTCCCTTCTATACTGGAATGTGAAGCTTTTTTATTGATGTAGACAATATCAGTCTTTACATACAATAATGTGGTCTTTACATACAACCTTAAAACCTTGTCTTTCTTGAAAAAGTCTATAAATAGGGAATTACAGTAACAACTGCACTTGTCTTCTGCCTCTAATACTTCATAGCAAGTGTTGTTAGTTAACAAACAATAGCTTTACTATTTGTCAGTCCAGCAAAAATTCACGTAGGACTGGAAAAATACTGCCATTCTTCAGGTAGTTACCAAAGCCTAGTTAGGTATTCAGCCCTATTCCTGCAACTCCCCTATGCAGATACAGCTCTGCAGGAGCCTAGTAAGCAATTTTCATAAGGTGTCATAGCACTTCCAGTCCTTTACCAGGTTTGGCCCAGTCCTAGATGAAGAAATTGTCAGAAAACTGGTTTTACCTCTAACAGCAGTTAAGTTTGGTGGAAAATTTTTAGTTTCATATATATTGCTATATGCACTCTTTGATAAACAGTTTTGCAGTTTGCAGAGTGTTGAGATGAAGGGGATTTTTTTACTTTTGTGTTCAGCAGCAATGGGAAAGGTAAATTGTCATATGGTGTAAATTAGTGCAAGCTCCCTTGTGTTTACCCGAACAGCACTAATGGAGAATTTGTTTCTGAGTGTCTGATAAGGAGGGAAGGGATTCCCCTATATTTATCTTTTTTTAATTATTGATTTCATTAATACAATATATTGCATATTAGTAAAAGCATGCCAACCATAGAGATCATGGTGACTGGCAGTGACATAAAACCTGATAGTAGGGTTGGGGTTTTTTGGTTGGTCGGTCAGTTGGTGGGTTGTTTTTTTTTTTTGCAGAGCTAACTTAACATAGTTCAACACGGTCTTTGCTTATCATTTTTCATTGCTTTTGTTTTGTTTGTTGTTTAAAAATCTGCAGTTTTTCTGGTCCCAAGATAAGTGAAGTGTTGCAGGAATGAATGCAACAGCATGGCTCTTAAATTGAGTTGCTTTCCCTCCTTGACCCTTGTAATGCATGGCAAAATTGGCAAATTTTCCAAACAGACCCTGTCTCTAAGGAAGTAAGTTGCTTCATTGATTGCTTCATCAGTTGGGCAGTCACTGAATGTATGAGTGAGGCATAAACTTAGAATTTAAAAGCTGCCTGTGAGCTACTATACATAATTACTCTGTGCTGATGGTTTGCCCACGCAGTGTTTTTCTTTCGTTGGTGGGAGGTTCAACACTGAATTCACAAAACGTCAAAAAGAATAAAAAGAGAATGGCAGCACACCATTTTTCATTTGATGGCACACAATCACAACTTGTGCCACAGAATGTCTGCATATCAGATTCAGTCATGTCTCTTTACATATCAGACTGCTGGGTTAATACATGCATAGAAAAGGATTCAAAGCTAGCAGTTTTGGTGAAACCCAGATGCTTTTAATCAGAATACATTTCTGTCTTTTCTGTGGTCCAGACATAAAGCCTGTGACTTGGGAAAAGGTTTTTAGGTTTTTTGCTCTGAGTATGATTTATTTGCCATGGTTTTGGCAATTTTTTAACATCAGAGAAGTTCTTTTGTAAGTTCCCCATGGCAGCAGTGGCACACTATTTTGCTGTGCTCAGATTTGCTGTTGCGTTTGGTTTCAGCTACATGTTCACCAGGCAAAATTAGCACAGCAGATAGTTCAAGGGCCCTTGGACTTCCTGAAAAGTTGAGCAATAACAATTTTGCCTGACATAAGCATGTAGATTTTCAGCAACATTATATTTATACTGCATTTTTTGAAAATTATCTTTGTTACTGGTATGTTACACATTAGGGGTAGCGTAAAAAAGACTAATTTCATTTCGTAAACTTAGTACAGTCGGCATACTCTCATATTTAATGTAGCAACATAACAACATATTGAGTTAGTTTTATAATAATGACCACATCATGTTTTCTTGGCATTTTAAGTTATTTCAGGATTTCTTCCAGTGTTACGTACATACATACTTATAGTCTGCTGGGTTTCTGACATTTAAATAAACATGCTGACAAGAAGTATTGCGTGTGGAAAGACCAGAATAAGGGGTTAGACATCAGAAGTGAAGAGCAGCAACTTAGAAATGAAAACAAGTACAGTACAGGTACATAAGTGTCAGAAGTAAGAGAGGAAAGTGAAGAAGAGCAAAGAGGTTGAGAAGAGAAAGGAGCTGACTGCTGAAAGTTGAAGATGAGGGCAAAAATGAATTGCAACAGTTGCTATAGAGCAACTATATACAACAACTTAAAACTGAGAAAGACTGTGTAGCAAAGACATGGATTTTTTATCATGTATTCGCCCTAAGTATTCACTTCATATCATTCAAAACAGCATCTTAAAGTGTATTGGATCTCTAAAAATTTCTCAGCTAAGAAAGAGAATGATGTAAATATTTACAGGAACTCTTTAACATTTCTGTACTGTGGTTAGACATAATCTCATCTATTTTCATACTAAATCTTTAGAAGTCATGTCTTGTGTTGGTGTAAGTTCAAAAGTTTTGTTTCACCACAAGGCTGATAAATTAATTTTAATTATGTTGTAACAGAAACAGAAGGAAAGAGAATAATTAATTAAAATGCCTTTTCCTACTTTTAAAATGATTTCTCCATTTGTCTTTCCTCTCCTGTTGTTGCAATAGTTGGATCTTTTTTCTAACAGAGTAGAATAATTTGGGAGTGAACAGGAGCTATACATGAAACTGTGCCCAAGCATAAATCTCTATTCTCTTATACTCCTTTCTGCATGGACTCTTAATACATAGTCATTTACCTACCCCACTGCAAACTTATAAATGCTTTCTCCTAAATGTCACTGGTTTTAATGGCTCAAAGGTGGCAATCCTGTTTTCATGACATCCTGTGATCATAACATCAAGTCATGAATCATGATCTTACTACAGCTGATTGATGAGCTCATTTTGCAACAGAAGACAAATTGGATTTTTTATTTATAATGGTGATAAAATATAATGTATGATCTTGCTATTCTGATGCTATCAGATTTCTGTTTTAATATAAATTTCACTAGTAAAATCTGTAAGTACTTTCCTGACCTTTTAGTTATTGTTTAATGCTTTGTCTTGCAGGTCAATACTGTCACTGGAGAAACAAAACATTTCCTTCTTTCATTTTGAAATCTTGACATGGCTTATTTTTTATGTTTACTACTTAGATTAATTTTGTTATTTTTTTGTTTGTTTCAGCACCACCAAAGTTTACAAGAACTCCCGTTGACCAGACAGGAGTTTCTGGAGGAGTTGCCTCATTCATCTGTCAAGCCACAGGAGATCCAAGACCTAAAATTGTCTGGAACAAAAAAGGAAAGAAAGTCAGCAATCAGAGATTTGAGGTATTAGGTCCATTGTTCTGTTCCTCTGAAAAACATTAATTCCAGCCTCACTTCTAATCCCAATATGTGTGCTTTATTATCAGTGATTAAGTAGAATAGCTATGACTATCAGGGATAATTTAGTGGGAGCAGTCTCATGAAGTTTTTATTTTGCAAACTGGTTACGCATAGCACTGTTAAAGAGAAAACTGCTACTAGCATGATCTAACTGGGGAGCCTTGGTGTGCTTCTGTTCAGCCTGCTATCTTTTCCATGAAGGAGATGGGGGAAAATTATTCGAGCAGTGATTGCTGTCTCCAGAGAGCAAGCCACCTCCTTTTGTGACAGTGTGCATCGAACAGACTTAGGCTGCTACTGCTTCTGCTGCCACAATTGCTTGCCACTGTTGCAGAGAGAGATGAAAGGGACATTGTATTTCCTGCTGCTGAAGAGGAAATGTAAAACTTGTTTGCTTTTGATTCTTTTCTTAACAATAACCTAGGAAAAGGCTTTAGAGAAAGCTGTTTCCCCTCTCTCCACAACCTTCAATTAAAGGAAACAGTGAAGATAATCTGTTCAAAGGATGCTGGTTATTTGAGGGGGAAATAAGACAACAAATGTTATTCCCTCTTTTAGTGGCAGGAACAATTAATATCAAATATGGGTTGACCTTTAACATGAAGAAAAAACTCAGAAAATGAGGGAAGGCCTGTAGAATGGATACCAAAACTGGCACGTAGAGTGTATAATTTTCACCGTGTCTCTTTACTATTTTCAATGTTAAATAAGAGACTTCTGCATTGAGAAAACAACTGTTTGGAAGATGACTAATTTGTATATAAAACAGTTTTGACATGCATTTTGTGAGCGAACGATCTAAGATATACCTGTTAAAAGTTGACTGAATATTGAAGTCTTCTGTGTTAATTTTTAGTAGTATTTGGGAAGATTGCTTGCCCTGGCTTTCAGGTTAGATTTACGTCAGCAGAAAAGAATTGCATTTCTTGTATAATTTGTTTTTATTCCTTTTTTGTTCAAAAAAATATTTAAAGGCATTGGAATTTGTTCATTAACCAATATCATTCTTTGCTTGTACATTTACTACAATGTGAGAAATAAAAGCATGAATTTAAATGTGACCTCTTAGTGCCAAGAACTGTTTGCACTTTGCAGAGCATATGCAGAGCTGTAATTGGCTAGAGAGATTAACATAGAACTTTTATCATAAACTCTACACAATTTATCCCCTTCTGGTCGCAAAATTTTCACTCGAGGTGAGTTCTAAACACTGAAAGATTGGGTATGTACATGTTTACTGTGTTGATTCAGTTTTATTGTGCAATATGTTCTGGTTTATTTGCTTCATATATTGTCTTCTATGTACCTATGTACCTGTTTTTAGGAAGAACAAGCAAAAATAAAACAGTTTTATTTCCATAAAAAATATTTGAATGGAACTATAAAAAATTAAATTAAAATGTTTAAAAAATGCCTTTAGTGGACTATTGAACAAGCTGTATAGCCAAGTAGGATGGAATGTACTTCAAAGAAATAGAAAACAGTTACCAAGTATTTTTTAATTTTTATTATAACCACTGAACGGAGTAGTTATGAAGTGTGCAGAGCACATCAATATTTTAAGCAGCCGTCCTTCCTGTCTAAAGTAAGGCCATTATTTCATGCCATAGAATCTCTAAATAAGAACAGAACAACAGTAGAAACTGAGATTCAGAAAACACACATGGAACATTTGGGAAGCAAGAAACATCTGAGATTGTCAACTGCAGTAAGAGAATAATTAGTTGAGCTTCTTTTCCTCTTCTTTCACATTAATATTTTGTATATTTCTCTGAGTTTGATTACTTAGTGTAATAAAAGACATGAAAATGTTTTATATGGCCACTTGTCTTCATAGAAGCCTAGTAAATACAGCTGGAAAGGACTTCAGTGGGCTGTCTAATCCACATGCTTTCCCAGGGATGCTGGGGGTTACTTTTGCGGGTTTTTTTTTTTTCCCCTCCAATAAACTTGGACAGCCTGCTACAGTGTTTCATGAACCTTGCCAGGATTTTTTTTTCTCTTGCGGTACCTGAACTTTTTTGCTGGAACTCGATGTACATAGCAATTGTCTTATCTAGCAGAGGGGGAACAGATAGTTTATTCCCTCTTTCGACAGTGCCCTGTTTATGTATTTGAAGATTATTATTGTTCAATGTGGAATGTTCTTGCTCACAGGCTAATTCTCACAACTGAGTGAGAATAGTGGTGAGAGCTATACATCGTTTCTGAAATTAAAGGCTACAATAAGACCTTGTGGGACTTCGCTATTAATGTTTCATCTTTTATTTATATTGCAAGTATATGCTATGAATGAATGTGATACAGGAGGATTCTTTTTTCTCCTCTTGAAATAAATTCAAATAATATGAATTAGAAAAATCTACTTTAAGTTACTAAGAAGTCCTCCTCAGGAGGACTTTTAAGAGGAACTTAAAAAGAAACAGGGAAGGGGAAAAAAACAAGTTTAAAAAATTGCACCATTCTACCCTGTGGCACAAGGCTGGTTTTATTCAAAAATCCGTGCTTTTAAAAAAAAATCTCATTCAGTAGATGGGGAAGTGGGAGGAATTATCTGTGATATGCAGGAAAGGGAGAACTCATCACAGGAAAAGTAAGACCATTTTATGATACATATTTTGGATACACCAGACTTGAAACTAAATCTCTGCAATATTTGCCCAACCCAATCTGCTGCAGTTGTTTTTATTGGCCATCCAGCTAGGATTATTCAGCATTCAAATTTAAACAATAACAATTATTCTTTTTAAGTGTAACGATTGTGATTATTTGGATCCCATGCTTTCATTTTTTATCTACAGATAGTTCGTCTGTCTGCTTTAAGATTGTGAAATTTTCCTTTCCCTCACAAATGTCAATTTATCAAGAATTCTAGTTATTCTTTTGTTTGTGCTAAGATCAGATGGAGATTTTTTGTTTTCTAGGTTTGTTTAGGACAATGGCTTTACTTAAAGAACAAGGGAAAATAATACAGCCTGTAGGCTACCAAAGCAATTTCTTCTCGGAAAAAAACAGGTTTTTATCTTATTTGCACTTAGACCTCTCCCACTTCTAAGAAGAAACTGAACAATTCCTACAATGAAAATGGGAAGATAATGGGCATATAACCATAGTTCCCAACCCTGTACTTTGTTTCTTTCTTACTCTCAACAAGTATAGAGTTCTAACAGATAACTTGTGTGTAAGTTAGACATACAGACACAAACATATGTGCAAATACGCATGTATGTAAATTGTTTTGTGTATGTATATGCCGTGGTTTAACCTCAGTTGGCAACTGACCACCACGCAGCCGCTCGCTCACTCCTCTCCCCCGCCCCTGGTGGGATGGGGGAGAGAATTGGAAAAGCACAAGTGAGAAAAACTCGTGGGTTGAGATAAAAACAGTTTAGTAAGTGAAATAAAATGATAATAATAATGTGATAATAATAATAATAATAATACACAAAGCAAGTGATGCACAGTACAATTGCTCACCACCCACCAACCGATGCCCAGCCAGTCCCCGAGCAGCG